GGCAAGCAGACAGATAGACAGACACACACACACACACACACACACACACACACACACACACACTAAACCATCGAATAGGGTGTGGAATACAAACACACATAACTAAAGAACAATGAACCAGGAAATTACAACAAATGTGAATAACGGTAAAGAAAGATGACCGGCAGAGACAAGACTCACGAACACCCACAAACACAAAAACAGAGAAGCATATAAAAACGTGGTGAGGACAATAGGCTGCAGGACGAGAGAACAATGAGGACAATACTGGAAAGAGGCTTTAAAAAGAGAGAGGACAGTCTTGTTAAATAAAAGAGGAGGAACATTAACAATAGCCGATAAATATAGGGATGGTGATTGCGGTAGAATACACCCGTTATGGCAATTATAGTGAAGGGGATATGTTGTTTATAGTAGAATATACCCGTTATGGCAACTAGAGAGAGAGAGAGAGAGAGAGAGAGAAGGTATATGTTGTTTATCGTAGAATACACCCGTTATGGCAACTACTGTAGAGAGAAGTTGTTTATCGTAGAATACACCCGTTATGTCTTAAACAGCACGTCTCTTTAAACATACAAGTAAACATTAAACCATTACTAATAGGAAGTCTATTATTCTTTTATTTACAGAAACGGGTGATAGGGGAAGTGTTGTTGATCAGGATTTCGGCCACCTTACACCACCATTCTGGAGAAGCACGGGCACGGGTGACGGTGAGTATAGAGTGAGTATAGACTGTAACTAGTAGGAGTTGTGTAATGTAACGAGCGATGTAATGTAATGTAATGTAATGTAACGTAATGAGTGATGCAACAAGAACAGGGAATAGTTTCATATTATGAAAGTGTACACGTGTAGTCTAGTAATGTACTCTTGTGGCACTGTATCTGTTGTGGTACTGTACACTTTTGTGGCACTGTACACTTGTGGCACTGCACCCGTTTGTGGTACTGTACCCGTTTGTGGCATTGTACCCTTTGTGGCAATGTACACTTGTATCACTGTGCTTGTTTGTGGCACTGTTCCCATTTGTGGCACTGTACCATTTTGTGGCACTGTACATTTTTATGGCACTGTGCCTGTTTGTGACACTGTACCCGTTTTTTGCACTGTACACTTTAGCGGCACTGTACAATTTTGTGGCACTGTATCCGTTTGTGGCACTATACACTTTTGACGCACTGTACCCTTTTGTGGCACACTTGTAGTTACAGTGGTATTGTATGTTTATTGCGAGTTTGTACATATTGTTGCTGTGTTCTTTTTGTGTACGCTCTTTGTGACATTGTACACTTATTGTGGCTGTACACCTTTTGTAACAGTGTACACATATTATGACTACATTTATTTTGCGTTTGTACACTTATTGTAACACTTTGTACACTTATTGTGGCGCTGTGTTCACTTATTGTCGCACTGTACACTTATTGGTGGCGCTGTGTACACTTATTGTGACGCTGTGTACAGTTATTGTGGCACTGTGTACACTTATTGTGACGCTGTGTACGCTTGTTGTGACATTGTGTACATTTATTGTACCATTGCATACACTTAAAGTAAAACGTTGTACACTTATATTGGCACTATGTACACTTATCGCATCACTGTTTACATATTTTGGCAGTGTACATTTGTGACTGTACAGTTATTTTGATACTATGCACACTTTGGCACTATGTACACTGATAGTGGCCATGTGTACGCTTCTTATGGCACTATATACATGTATTATTACACTGTACACTTATTATGACACTGTACATCTATTCACACTGTACATTTATTATGACACTATTTTTATGTGACACTGTACATTTATTGTGGCACTCTGTACACTTATGCCACTGTGTACACTTACATGTAATTAGCTCTGTACGTTTAGTCAACCTGATGGCGAAGCTGTCCAACCACTTTACTCTTCACTTTCATGTTGTACACTTACTCTCACTCGGTACACCTTTTTTCTGAGAACGTGTACATCATAATGGGATAATCACTTTACTTCTGTTTTCACTTTCAAATGTACATTTTCAGTTGTACCAATGTGCATAAACCGTATCCCTCAGTAATGACAAGTTGTACAATCGAACATCACTCTGTACACTTTACATGGGTAGGTGTCCTACTCACAAATTAGAGATTGCGATCACTTTTGTGCTATGTGCATTTATTCGTATGGTCTAGTTGTATAGTTATTCAGAAGAAAAAAGTATACGAAAATCACTCAGCCAAGTCGGTACTGTTTTGTATAAATAAAAATACTAATTATATTAAAAATAAAATAATACTTAGGACAGTAATATGATAATAATAAGAAAACTAATTTATTAACGTGCTAAAATTTTCAAGGTTGTATATGTACTGTATATATTTCAGGCGGCAGTGTCAAAACAATGATTATGTTACAAAAAAAAATCCTTACAATACGTACTAAATGCCATACATACAGTACAAGTCTTCAAAAGAAACTAACGTTTTTTCTTACTATTACACTTACCGCACATCCCCCGACCAACCCATTAAGTAGCGAGGCCCAAATTTTCTCCACACTGTATAAGGTCATGGCAGAGCACTACACCACCAGGATGTATAGCCCGGTGGGGAGCCGCTCACAACACAAGATCCTTCCTACACCACGACCAGCGGCGTACTGATGGTGGCCGCTCCAGTCTTAATAAATGATCCCCCCCTCCCTCCCTTACCTCACCTCTTCCACAGTTGCCCCCACCCACACCTCCCAGCCAAGCGATGACGTCACTCCTAAGAAACTGTTTATCGCATGTGTCTATAAGGGTTTCAAGTGTTGTATCTATTTATATACCATTCCAGATATTTATCTATCTACCTATGCGCATTAATCTATTTTATCTAGTTGTCCTTCTAATATAAGTGTACCTATATATCTGTTACCATATCGATAAAGCATCTCGAGCTACACAATGTTTCCTACACTGTGCAACTTCTGGGGGGTGACGTCACTGGTGGGTCTTAAGTTGAGTTAACCCGCCGCCTCAGGGAAAGACTTCAGGAGAAAACATGATAATTTCCCCCGACGGTGTTTGGCTGTTTGGGTATTTTTGTTTCTTATCAGTCTAGCAGGTTATCTTCTCTGTTGTTTTTGTGTGTTTTTTGTTGTTTTTGCCAAAGTAAGATAAACAAAAAAACACAATGGACTTCGAACTAAATAAATCACATATCAATAATTCCCTGGTGTATTCAACGCAAGAACAATGACCAAGTATATAACAGGTATTTCCTCTTTGGATTATAGTGCATGCTGTATATAATTAAATGTCCATTCTGTATGCATGTATGTATTATGTATTTTTTAATACTATGTGTGTGTGTGTGTGTGTGTTAATTTCACCACCCCCGCCCCTGTGAGGGTTTATCGCGGGGATTTACACAAAGACCGGTAATAATCTTGACAATATTGGATTACTCTTCCAATTGTTCTTTCTTTAACACCAGCTTTCACATATTTACTACTTAAAATACATAATACACTGTACATGGAATCAGATACGAGGATAAAACAGTATTTAGAACTATATCAGTATACAGACTCTGCAAATAATATGGAACGAATATCTAATATACTATAGGAATAGCCGTGGCTCTGTCTGTCTGTCTGTCTGTTCTGGGCAGCCGAAACTGCGCCATCGTTTTTCATCAAACTTGGTGGAAAAATCGCAAAAAATTCGTAGAGTGGAACAAACCTGGTCCCATGTCGATGGTTTCTTTAGGAAGGCATTAATTAACCATTTTATTTACGATGGAAAACGATGCAAGTCTATGGACTTGGCGCATTCTAATTAACCATGCAAGTCTAAGGACTTGGTGCACCCTCATTCGCTGTACGCTAACCAAGCATGAGCGTTCAAACTTTCACCGGGCACGAAGGGCCCACGATCACTTGTATACACTGTTTTGCAGATATTAGGTTAGGTTAGTCCTGAGTTTAAAATACAGGTACAATCATTCTTATTCCGTGACGGTATGATGAAGCTGGTACCGTAAGCTTGGTAGGCCTATGAGTATACACAGGCATATAAGTATACTCAGAATATCCATCAATGCATATAGTTTGCTTCATTTCTATTTTATTTAGTTATTTACCACAATTGCAAAAGTATTGAGTGTTAGACGTTTTTTCTGAAGTTCATACCTGCATACTTACATAGATTAACACAACTAAATAATACTGTATTGATTATAATGAGATAAATATAAAGATTGTTTTATTATTATGCAACTGAATAATAATAATAATAATAATAATAATAATAATAATAATAATATTATTATTATTATTATTATTATTATCATTATTAACAATAATAATAATAATGAAAATTAAAATAATAACAATAACAATAATAATAATAATAATTATAATAATAATAATAATAATAATAATAATAATAATAATAATAATAATAATATTAATAATAACAATGAAAATAATAAAAGTCCTTAAGATGAGGTTGTAGGTACTAACAAATAATCACAAAGTGGACAACAAAAACATGGGACACTCCCCGTTATCACTAGTGGACAGGTTTTTAGAATCAGGGGCAGTAGGAGTCACAACGTTTCGTACGGTGAATAATTCCTTTTAAATGAAGGTGTGGGAAGCTAACCTATATATAACTTGTTACCTTTAGCAAACTCTTGAAGATGAAGTCTAAATATGGCGCCACAATTAATCTGAGACTTTACCTAAATTAATAACGTCCATTTGATAATTTTTAAAATAGAGAAAATTAACATACTGAAATGATCTGAGACCTTGGTCAAGTTATGTCTACAATTTTTTTCTTATAAATAATACTTAGTGCAGCTCGTTCAGGTAAAGTCTTTGTTGAATTATGAAGCCATTTGAGACTTTATGTATGTATATTAGCTACAGTTAACCAGTTACTGTAGATTTGTTTGCAAAGTACCGATCATATGAAGATTATAGTAACCTCCTCTTATTTTACCTGATGATTCACACCTGTCAATAAATGGTAGAGTTAGGTTTGGTTAGGTTAGGTTATCGTAGGTTTGTTTAGATTTGGTTTGGTTTGGCTACGATTGGTTAGGTTAGATTTGGTTACATTAGCTTTGGTTTGGTTAGGTTAGTTTAGGTTATGTTAGGTTAACTTATAATATTGGAATTAGTTAATTTTATCGTCACACGTCCCCGTCAAGCTCGGTAGTGTGGTGTTTTTAATTCTGGTTGTAAACACGACGACCGCCGTCAACGGAAGAGGGTGATTAAAACTCCGGGTGTAAGAGTATCTCCCGTGGTCAGAGAATATCATTGAAAGGGTCGGGGGTGCTGGTGGTACAGTGGTACCGCTCTTGCCTTCGCAAGCGAGATGTCACTGGTTCGATTCCCGGGCCGGTGGAAGTTGTTTGGACACACTTCCTAGCCCCCATTAGCCCCTGTTCACCTAGCAGTAAAGTAGGTATCTGTTGTAAGTCGAAAGTTGCGAATTCGTATTCAGGGACAAGTTGTTGGAGCTTCCAATAACTTGATGACACAAACCATTGACTCTTCAGGCTTCTATGCCCTTAACTCATGAGACATAAAGGCAAGCATGAACTTAGCATGCTTCCCTGTTGGGCACTGTAAACGCTTCTGCGCTTCACCTTACACAAGGATGTAGGGGAGTGCCCAATAAATAAAAAAAAAATTGTAAGGGTCACGTAAGACAACCAGGGTTTGGATTCGGAAAGATTCGTTTTTTTGTTTTCATCTTAATTGGGAATGAGAAGATTGGTGTGTTTAGGTAGTGTGTCAGTGTGGTTTCAGCGATATCTTAGCAGCCGGGTAGGGTTGTTGCAAGGTTTCATGTACGCAACTTTGAACATCCAAGTCCACGGTCAGAAAAATCTTCTTCTCTCTTATTTTATGATTGTTTAACACGCAGCATCAACAAATCATGTTTAAACAATAAATTGTATTTAAGGTTAGTAAGATTCGATTCATAGATTCCGTGTATGATCCAACCTCCCTCACCCCTAACATCGTTATGCGTCTGACAGCGAGGTGAAGTTTACCTTGAAATTTAGCTCCAGGGAAAGTAGTGATCAGTTGCCCAAATAATTTGCTGGTTGATTTTGTTGTATGTTTGTACCCTCTTTTCTGCCTTAAAATTTCAGTGACATAAAATTTATTTTTATCTCAATTTTTTTATATAAAATATAGATTTTAAAAGTGAGAAAGATCCTTTGAAAAAAACCTCAACTGTGCTGTAGGAGAACTTTTACAGGGCTCGGCAGTGTAAACATACGGCAATGTCCTCACTCTTTGCTTATACAGTACTGAAAAAATAATCGTCACATAATTTTCTTGAATGTAATGTTAAAATAGAATTCCTATTAACATTTGAAAGTAACTATGCATATATTTGTTGCCGAATATTAATGAATAAATCTTGTTATTGCGGCGTAATGTCCACAAAAATGCAACTCATTTTCCCCACGGTCATCCTCAGTTCGCACAGGTACCAGAGGGGTCGACTGAATGAGCACGTGTAGTTTTTTTACATTGTTGTCGTGGTTTAATTTATTCAGCTTAATGCATGTGCAGTGAGTCGCAGCGTTCGACATACAGATTGTTTATAAAGTCCCTTGGTGTTCGTGTTTACAGTCCTTGGGGGGAGTCACATCAGAGACAGATACGTACTCCTGTATTGCCTATTCTTCGTTGTTTTATCACCGTGACCGCTGTGACTTACCCTGATGCGTTCTTTACATTTACATCTATGAATTTAAGTAACAGTGGACATAGTGGACAGTACAGTCACGCGTACAAAATGATCCATTATATATCGATGATTTGTGTGTATAACTTCCTCAAGAACTGTCAACACGCTGCAGAACACAAACCAAACCTTCTCTAACCCACGATAGCTTGGTAATGTTAAAGGTAAATTGGTGTTGGCTGTTTGATGTTCGTTCAGTGAAAATTCCAATATATTATACCCAAAATTATTAATCATTTAAGGTCAGAATAAAAACTAGATAATGTGTTCAAAATAATAGATACTGGTATAGACAGATAAAGACACGGCAGGTCAGGGCGCCTCATAGTTCCGTATGTTAAGTGAGAGAGTCAACTTACCACTTAATCATGGGGTCACCTCTGTGTTGAATAAAATCATCTGGTATTGGTGGAATAAAATATTGAAAATGGCGTCCCTGTAGTGAAGGGGTTAACCTCTTGACTTTACAATATAGATATCTATAGCTCAAAACAACGTCAAGAATGGCAACAAATTTACTTGAGAAATTAACCCAATTAGATATTTGTATTTATGTATAACACCATTTAGGGAACGGATGAACCGTGGTGCTTAACGTGGTGTCAGTTTAGCAGTTCAAGGGTGACACGATACCTTTGGGGTCCGAAACCTAAATGAGTTAAGATAAAAACAATAGTTTCTCTTGAGTAAAAAAATCAGTGGTGGAATGTAACACGCGAACATTTAAGGTGAATCCAGAGTAGTGTACAAAAACTCACTTTTTTGTGTGTGTGTGAACGTGTATCTGTGTATATGTGTTTGTATTATTTATGTATGTATTTATTGATTTTCATTTCCAACGCAATTGAATCTTACTGCCTTGGATGACCTTCGTGGTTTCTCAGTTGACATGACAG